TGGCTCTGCCACCGGCAACCATGTGTCCTTGAGCAAGTCACTCCATTCATTCATCCATCTCCATTCATTCATGCACTCATTCATTCCAACAGTTTCTGAGCATCTGCTGACTGTCACGTCCTGTGGCAAGCCCTTGAGATTAAGGCGCAGGCCCTGGCCTCAAGGGGATCATCACTTGGTTGGAGGACCACAGTGGCTCACATCAATGCTGGACAATGTTTCCAGGCAGGGATAGGAAGCCCTCAGGTCACACAGTGTCCAGAGATACGGATGCTACCGTGGGCCTCAGTTTTCATATGAGAAAAAGAGTGTTTAGACTCAATGCTCTCTAAGGACCTGGCCACGCTATCAGGCATCTTCTGGTCAGGTTTGGGGATCCAGGGTCTGCTTGTGGCAGGGCGCGTATAGGCCCAGCCAGAGAACCAGCCGGGGCCTGTGCAAGCCAGGATGTAGGCACTGATGCTCATCACTTTCTATAGAAGTGCCTGCTCCATCTCCCAACTTCACTTCAGTTGTTGACCTTGGGAGAGGTCCATGCCCCTGGGGTCTGGACACAATGCCTGGGCAAGACCTGCGTCATCACCTTGGTCCAGGCAGCTGGGCGGGAAACATCAGTTAAACAAGACACATTCATCAGCAGATGGATGTCCCAGAGAAGTCAGAAAACTCACTTAAGAAGCCAGCCATCCAGACTACCCTGAGTCCTCAGCCAGCCATGCCCAGACACGTGACCTTGAAGTGGCTCCTTATCCTGTACAAATGATTGCCAGGAAAGTCTATGGCCAATGAAACAAGCAAATGTGCCTTTTGCACCTTTAACTCGCTCTCTTAAATGAGCTCTGCCCTGGCCTGGAGACAGAGATGCTGGGCTTACCCATCCTCTTCATCAGACTAAACATTTCCCCAGGGTTTGGTTATTAAATCAGCAGAACCCATTGCTCCCAAGATAAACTCCTGAGGATGCGATACCAGCACTCACCCCAGAGAATTCCAATTGGTACGTGTGGCAGGGCACTGGCATCAGCAGCAAGCATCCCTGCTAAAACAGCCCGACAATTAATTTGCTATCTTATGGCTCAAATGCTGACACACGAATGTAACCGGGCTCCAGTGGCAACCGGAAAAGCATCGACAGTGAAAATCCCTTTGCTTGCCTTCACCAGGTCCTGGAAACACGGAGCACCCCAGGGTGACTTCGGATCGATTGCCTAGTCTTTCTGAATTCCCATAGGGTGTTGGGAACAGGAAATGAGGTCAGGTTTGGGACAGTGTTCTTATGGATTAATATTAATATCCCAAGTGAAACTTGGCAGCGAGGCCCCTGCCTACCTCCCAGGGCTGCCTGAGCTGCTCCGAGGACCACACATGTCCAGTGTGGAGTGACGCTCACCGTGGCCCTAGTGGCCCAAAGCATGTCCCCTCCCAAAGGCAGAGTTCTCCCCTGGGGACCACGGTGTGGCAGCAGGCAGACAGCACTTAGGTGAGGGGGCCTCTGAGGTTGTGTGTCCCCTGCTGGGGGCACAGCTCAGAGTGGGTGGGAAGAGGGACTAACAAGGCATCTGACCAAAGGGTTGAGGAGGGAGGCCTGGATCCCATTAAACTTCGTTCTGGCTTCTCCTGGAAACCACTGCCTGGCCGCAACTCCTGCTCCACCCTCCGGGGGCCCATCCAGCTGTGGGAGGCAGGCAGCCATACAGCACAAGAGCTGGGCGGCTCTAAGGAGAGGGGGCTGTGTGTCCACACCGACTCCCCATGCTCACACGGTTCTCCGTAGCCGCTGCCGGGGGCCATGGATGGGAGCACTGGGCTGGGACAGCCCGGCTGCGTGACTTTGGGTGAATCCCTTTCCCTCTCTGGGACTTTTTGTCTCAAATCACTGGTCCCTGCGGTCCTCCCAAACTCTGGCAGGAGTGGGAGGTGGGGAGTGGTGAAGGGGCAGAGTGCTGGGGACAAGGACCAGGCCACGGGGATGGCCTGCTGGACCGCAGACTAGACTGTAAGCTCCTTCAGGTGGGGCAGGGACGCATCCCCGCTGCCGGGCACAGTGCTGGCACAGCAGGGGTCTGTCAACCATTGACGACCGGGACAGGACCCTGCTTAAAGCAATCTCTGCTGCAGAGCCCACTTGTTTCCATTCTGACTAGATGCCTGGAATGCCACCATTAGAGTCACTGCTCTGGGACTTAAGGCTTCTCAGCGGTCCAGAGATCCCTGGGGAGTTTTAGGAGTCACAGCACCCGCCCCCATTGGCCACATGGTCATCATGTGAAAACAAGTCCATTCATCTACTCACTCACTCAGTCAACAGTCCTGGGCACCGTGCCAGCCCTGAGGCAACAACAAGGACCAAGAAGCCCAAATTCACATCGTCATAAGCCATTAATTGGCCCGCCATGTGGTGAATGACAGATATGCAATGGGTAGTATGGAGGCACCAAAGAGGGCCATTTAGCCCGACCTGAAGGCGGGGGAGGAGACAGTAGCCAAGAGTTCCCAGGTGAGGCTTGGCCAGTGGAGAGGGAAGAGCGACCTGAGAGAAAGGCGGGGCGTGAGCAGGGGCGTGGAGGGGAGGAGCAGTGCTTCGGGGAAAGACAAGCAGTTCAGTTACTGGAGGAGAACGTGGGCAGGAGCAGAGGCTGGAGGTAGAGGGGGCCGGGCACACACAGGGCCTTCTCGGGGCTGGAGCCTTGTCCTGGGCTCTGGAGCCAGTGCAGGGCTTCCAGGGGGGTCAGGCCTGTGTGCTGGGCCGTTCATTCTGCCAGTGCAGCCCGAGCCTGGGAAGCAGGGAGAGGCTTAGTCCTGGGAGAATTGGAAAACTGAGTCAGGTTGTGCCAAAGGGATTGGGGAGGAGGTGGGAAAATGGAACCTTCTGGTGGTAACGATGGTTAGATGTGGAGGCTGAGGGAGAGAGAAGAGTCCACAGTAACCCACCTGCCTCACCCCCGAGCATTACCTTTTTTTCATCAAACACTTACTGGGAATGTACTAATTGTCCGGCGCTGTTCTAAGTGACTTCCACATGTTTATTCACTTAATCCTTACAACCACTCTACAAGGGGACTGTTCTGTTATCATCCCCAATTCACAGATGAGGAGGTTTGAGGCACAGAGAGGCTAAGTAACTTAGGCCACACAGGTGATAAATGGCAAAGTGAAAATTTGAGCCTGGCTGGCGTGGCTCAGTGGCTGAGCATCGACCTATGAACCAGGAGGCCCTCATTCAATTCCTGGGTGGGGCTCATGCCCAGGTTGCAGGCTCCACCTTTCATGGTGGGGCATGCAGGAGGCAGCCGATCAATGATTATCTCTCATCATTGATGTTTCTCTCTCTCTCTTGATCGCTCTCCCTTCTCTGAAATCAATAAAAATGTGTTACCAAAAAGAGACTTGAACCCAGGCCTTCTGGCTCCAGAGTCTCTGCATTTACCACTGCAGAGGTCGCACCAGAGCCCTGTGCCCCCTCAATGCCCAGCTGCTTCCAGGAATGTTGCCCCACTGAGGCCCATCTCTGCAGGCAAAGCAGCTCCCAGCCTGCGTAGCCCCAGCCTCAGCCAGCAAGACTGGGGGCCATTAAGGATCTGCAGATGGGGAACCTGGGACCCAACGTTGAACTCAGGGGCTCAGGCAGAGTTGTTGGCAGAGCTGGTACCAGGCTCCTGGTTTGTGTCTGCAGCCCCTGGTTGCTCCGGCCGGCAGGGCCTGAATAGAGGTGCTGTGTGTGTCTGTAGAGCCCCTCCAAGATCTTTCTCCTGTGTCCTCCTGTCTGGCACCCAAATGCTTTTTCTTAGATGGCTCAGGCAGTAGGGAAAAAAGATACCTTTATAACATTTTAATACATTATATTAGAGGTCATGGTGGTACTGTTTTATCCACAGCGTCTACAGGAATTGCTGCAAATTTAACTTCCTTTCAGTGTGTACATATCCATGCACCGGGACCACTAGTCCATATATAATCAGCCAACTGGCGAGGGGGCTCAGAGCAGGATTTCCAGGGTGACCGAATGTGCCGGAAGCTGGTCCATCCTTGCTGCTTGACACAGTCGCTGTAGGGAAGAAAGGTCTGCACAGCATATGTTTCAAGGGACCTGGCGTATATGGCATACTGTTCTTAATATGTTTGCTCCCCTTCTTGGCGCTATGTGTTTTAACCAGGGTCACCTCTCTGAGAAAGGTTGTTTCCCCAGGTAGGGATTTTTCCCTGAAGTTAGGGAGGGAATAAAATCCCTTAACTAAGTGCCAAGTGGGTAGTTAATCACTTTAACTAAGAACAATCACCCTTAAGCTTCATAATCTTGACTCCCTGGAATGGAGATAAGAAACCCCCTAACCTTTGGAATAGAAATTGATAAGATTAAAATCAACTGGTATAAATACAGATGTAACAAGACAATAAGACACAGAACCTGGCTGGAGGTCCTGGCGAGAACCTGGCTAGAAAACCTGGCTAGGCTGCTGCTCAACTGAACGCTGCCCCCGTGTCATTCCTTCTTTGCCGACTCTGTCCACAAATTTGGGAACCGCTGGACCTGCTGGGGCTGGACCCCAACAATTGGCACCCACTCCCGTGAGGCACATGCCCAGAGGCCAGTCCCCAGCTATTTTCCTCCGTGGCAGCGGCAGTGAGAGGAAGGGCTTGGGAGCTCCAGTTCCGCCTGTGTGTTTGAGTGGACAAAATGGTGAAGATTGCCAAGACTCACGAAGATATCGAAGCACAGATTCGAGAAATTCAAGGCAAGAAGGCAGCTCTTGATGAAGCTCAAGGAGTGGGCCTTGATTCTACAGGTTATTATGACCAGGAAATATATGGTGGAAGTGACAGCAGATTTGCTGGGTATGTGACATCAATTGCTGCAACTGAACTTGAAGATGATGACGATGACTACTCATCATCTACAAGTTTGCATGGTCAGAAGAAGCCAAGATATCATGCCCCTGTGGCATTGCTTAATGATATACCACAGTCAACGGAACAGTATGATCCATTTGCTGAGCACCGACCTCCAAAGATTGCTGACCGGGAAGATGAATACAAAAAGCACAGGCGGACCATGATAATTTCCCCAGAGCGTCTTGATCCTTTTGCAGATGGTAATTCTTTCCCACTTTTCTTTAGTATTCACGAATTTGCTTGTATTAAGCTCTCTTTAGCCCTTTGATTTTTTTTGGCATGCTTATGAATTTGCTTTTCTTTTTAAAAATCCCCCTTATTATAGATGTGTATAGATTTGGTTGAAGTCAAAGATGCCATATTCTTCATCTTTATAATACAAGTTTTCTTTCCAGGTAGAAGGACAAGAAAATAATGAGCCAATGCCATAGAAACGCAAAGGGTTAAAGGTTTTTCTTTTACTTTTGTTTTGGGTACGCTTTCTATACTTGGAACAAATGTGTTTTTCTGGTCAAAATACTTTCAAATTCTTGAAAGTTTTCATTCCAAATCCTAGATTTTAGGATTGTTACTTTTGAGAAACTTTCTCACATTAGAGCTCCCCTCATATTTCTCTAAATATAGTTTAGTAAGTGCACCTACTTTGCTTTAAGCATACTTAAAATTAAAACAAAAGTATGTATACAAAGGCTTTGATATTTTTAATAGTTGGAGTCTGTTTTGCTAATTTTAGTGTGCAGGTCAGCACAGGGGGCATAGTGAGCCTGATGGAAGCTTTCCTCGGGTGAGTTTCAAAATCAAAATTAGGTGCCTGTTTCTTAAAATGAGATTCTGCTGCAGGTTTACAAATTAGACTTTCAGCCTGCATGAATTAGTAGGGATATTCTTTTTTTACTTGCATAATTGTAATTGATTTAAACATGTATGTCAGAATTCACAGGCCCATACTAACTGTCCTTAATTTCTTTCCTACAGCAGTACTGCTATATGCCAGTCCTGTCTGCATTCTTAAGGGTGCAGTTCAACACATCCTCTCTAGATTATGGTGAAAAAGTATTCCAAAGGAAGTCTTATCAGAGCTAGTGTCAGAAAGAATGACACTACCAATTGGGCATGATCTTCAGCATAGGAAATGTCTTAGAATTTTATTATTTTATTTTTCTTAAATTGTGATGCTATACTACTGTATAGCTAATTATCACATTTTATAAAACATAGTGTTCCTCTGTGAATCTTGTTATATACTGTTTGGGCTTCTTTAAGATATTTTGAAGTTTGAAAAGCAAATACTGAAACTTGAACCAAGAGACTAACACATCTCTTTGTATGCCACTTCTCTTCTATGTGCATCATAATAACTGGTAGAAAGTAATATATTCAAGTAATATATTTTCATTTGTAATCATACTTTCTAAAGATAAAAATGTTTCTGGGTCAACAAAACTTTAACAAGCATGAAGCCCTTTTTTAGTAACCTGACATGAGAATAAGATTATAGGTATATTTTTAAAAATCAGATTTGCTAAACTATAACTGTTTTAGAACATTGTATGAAGAACTTACCTAGTTATAGTTATTTGTAGTTAGGATTTTAACAGCTTGCAACAGGTAATGTTTTGAATATAAATATCTTTCCAAAGTGTTACTAATGGTAAAGAGATAATTTTCTAGGCTTCTATTCTGCTGCTTGAAGTCAGAACTGCTGATGGAGACAAAGGCACGAAAGTGTACGTATTCCGGATTAGCAACCCAGGAACCCATCACTTCTGAAGACTAAACTGTGCTGTCATTTTGCTTTTATATGCATTAAAATATTTGTTTTAAACTGCTGTAGATGTTTGTGTTCAAACAGGTTAAATTGATCAGCAAACTCAATAAAAAGTAAGATGTATAATTATTAAAGTTTTCCATCAAAAAATAAATTAAATGATATGGAATAACATAATATTAGAGCAGGGAAGATAAATCAGTTGAACCTAATTATCGTTTATTTATTGTACTCTTGTCCTGTTGCTGTTCTTTTCTGCAGGAGGGAAGACCCCTGATCCTAAAATGCATGCTAGAACGTATATGGATGTAATGCGCGAGCAGCATTTGACTAAAGAAGAGGTATGAACCTGCTCTTTATTTTAATGGTTGTGAAAGACTAGAAATAAAGCTGAGATTGAGAGACTTATATTTCCTTTTTATTTGCTGAACAAGTAATTCAGTATTATTAATAAAAGTAAAGTTGAGACAGAACCTTACCCAAAATTCTACCACCTCCCATGTTAATCATTTTTTCTGTCCTTTTCTAGTCCCTGGCCCCTTGGCCATATACATACATATGTTTCTTCTAGTGACTATGTCCGTGGGGAGGATGATAGTGTGTACCTGAAGCCAGTGTGTAAGGAAAAAGCCAAGTAGTTAAACCATTCCTTGAAAAACTTCTAATTCTCCCATAAAATTGAGTTTGGATATGGTTGGAGAATTCTGAAGAATTCCTGCTGGCTTACAGAAATTGCTTCATTTTGTTTCAGTAGTTAGCCTTCATAACTTTATTATAAATATATAATTGTTTAAATTAAGTGGGGTGATGGAAATTAAATGCATTTGTTGGGATGTTATATATAATATTTACCTAATTAAAATCATAATTTAAAATTTTTCACTTTTTACCACTTTTCTATCTTGTTACATATTCTGATTTGCTGTTTATATGAGTTTTAAATAAAACTATTTTTCAATGGAAGCATTTTAGTTCTCTACCATTGGCTGAAGATTTGCTTCACTGTCTAGAGTAGGGTGCTCTGTTATAAATTCTGTACTTGCTCATCTACTGTGCAGAAGGATATTGTATGAAACGAAATACAGAGAAGAGAGGGAAAATAAGACCAGGACTACCACTAGCATAGGAAGGAGAGTGAGTGAAGAATGACATGACGTTAAATAGAAATGTTTGTACTAATGATATGAAAATATGTTGAAAACGTTTTAAAGATACTCAGTGATTATTCAATTATTTTCAGAGAGAAATTAGGCAACAACTAGCAGAAAAAGCTAAAGCTGGAGAACTGAAAGTCGTCAATGGAGCAGCAGCGTCCCAGCCTCCCTCAAAACGAAAACGCCGTTGGGATCAAACAGCTGATCAGACTCCTGGTGCCACTCCCAAGAAGCTGTCAAGTTGGGATCAAGCAGAGGTGGTTACATTGTATTTTTTAAGACTATTATAATTTTTTTTTCTCACATGAAATGTATTGTCTGCTTTCATGACGATAGCAGACTGGGTGGCTTAAGAAACAGACATATACACACACACACACACACACACACATTTTTAAAATATATTTTATTGATTTTTTTACAGAGAGGAAAGGAGAGGGATAGAGAGTTAGAAATATCGGTCCGCTGCCTCCTGCACACCCCCTACTGGGGATGTG